TTCCAAAAAAACAAAAAAAACAGCCCTTGCCCCAAAAAGGGGGAAAAATTTGGAAAACCAAAAAAAAAAAAAAAAAAAAAAAAAAAAAAAAAACACTTTAATTATAATCTACAGTACAGACATAAGCTATCTATCCTAAATATTACAGGACCATTCAATAAGCCTGTAGAAAAAGTAACCTTTCTACTTAATTTTTCAGAGCTTTTCCATAATGCCCCAAAACTATTTTAGCAGACTGTTACAAACACTCTAGTCACCCGATTCACTTGCAAATCATTACTGAAATTCTGTGAAAATGATCTCCAAGCGAAAACAGGCCGTTGTGTTTTGGAGTTAGATTTGAGACTCTCAATCTACCAAGTCCCGAGAGAATCATACCCCCATTCTACAGGCTGAGAAAATACAATTTGAGTCCAACCCAACAACTAGCTTCAAGCAGGCCTCATACACAAATGCAATATACAGTAAAATCTCAAACTGTCAGCTAACATTCTTAATATTATGCATAACTAAATTTTACAAGATATATAACATGCATGTCTTCATAACAGACTGCAGATTTGCAAAAAAACTCTCTCTCCTGAATACCAAGTAGTGCACCAACATCTTCTGGTTACTTACAGCAAGATGGAAATGGAACATGGAAGTCAAAACATGAATTGAAATGGTTTTGTAAGGGAGAAACTAAATACTTAATCAAATTACCAGAGACTGAGTCAAAATATGACTATGCAGTGAAGCAACCCATTTGGCACGCAACAGGGTATGCGCCAAAAAGTTTGCATGCAAAGGCAACTGCAACTTCACCAACCATTTATTTGAAAGAAGTGAAGAGAAAATAAAGCAAGCAATTTGTGTACTTGGAAAAATGATTTGGTATTTTAGTTTTGTGCCAATATTATGTTAATTTTTTCATCTTTGTTCAAAATTAACTAAAAGTTACCCACATTTAACATTTAAAACAGGAAGTGATGTTTGTGTGTAATTTTCAAGATTGATCTCATTTTCTTTTATAATTTTACAGCAAAATTGAGTTAGTGAATGTAGTGTTCATATAAGGCACCAAAACCAGGAAACTGAAATCCTCATTCTACTTCATCAAAACTATAGCACTGGAAAACAAACGAGGTATTTCTAACATGGATACTGTCAAAATGCCTTACTTCTGTTCTGATAGGACAGTGTCTCATTGTGAAAGAGCAGTTCACAGTCTCCATACATGATTAACTGAAATAGGGTATCCTGTGACAAATCTATGAGATTTATTAATGATCAGTAAATAAATACACATTCGCTGAATCCGTGTTTCCCAAGATCATAATGAATCCCTGTTTGAACCTGCTTTGAGACCACAAACCCAGGACAATGGCTATTTGTCACCATTAACCTATATAATATTTGAACCAGAGAACTAGAAAGTAAGCCACTCACATTTCTTGAAACCCATTTGGTTTCCTGTATTTATTATTTGAATTGGAAATGATCCTGCACCAAAATTACATATCCAAAGATCCCTTACCTTTAGAGAAATGTGCATCAATCTTTTATCCAAACTGTTTTTAAAAAATTCCAAAAAAGAGTGTTCATTTCTATGGTTCCCTAAGATTTTCTTAACTTGTAGAAGTATCTGAAATGTTGTAGATTCTCTCCTATTAGTAGCAGACAAAAATATTTGTCTGGCAGAAGCGGAAAAGGATTCTATTGCTATTTTACTGCTTTGCTACGTATTTTAGGAGAGACATGGCAAGAACATTCAAAAACTTCCATAAATATGCTTCCTTATTTGCTACATAAAATTAAAACAATAGATAACTGAGAGTAATGACAAGTTAAAATGAAAATCATCCCTAATTTGTATAACCTTATTAGGGGTGCACTGATAGACATTTGGGGGGCCGATACCGATACCCAATTGTTAAGGAGGCATATCGGCCAATACTGATCTGATTTCTGATACAGCTGAGTCCACCTGGTAAGTCTGTTGTGGTGAAAGGGGAGGGGGAAGGGAAGGGCTGTACAGGGGCAGATCAACGCCCCTCCATGGTGAGGGAGGGAGTGGGGCTGGGGTTAGGATAGGCATTGCCCAGCTGGGGCGGGGCAGACACAGGATGAAAAAAGCAGAGGTTTTCAGGAGCAGGAGCTAAATTCAGTAAGTGAGAATCCTTTTGCCAACATCAGTTTTATAGGCTCACTCCTCATACCCCTCCCCCCTACCCTGGCAAACTTCCTCAATGCACAGTTGGTTCTCTCAAAGTCAGTAGCAAAACTCCCATAGACTTCAGTGTTTGCAAGATTTCTCTCAGTTAATACTTGTGTCTTCCAGTGCATGTACCCATTTTATGAATGGTACATATTTCATAGCAGCATCTTTGTTAAGAGAGCTAATAAAAATCAGTTACACTGCACTATCCAACCCCAGATTAAACTGATGACAAGTTACAGAATACCACACTGCAGTCTAGCAAGCATTTTCTTTGTTCTCTTACATTATCATAGTGGCTACATATAAAGCATTGTCATTAGCAGCTAGGAAGCACAGCTTGAGGATACTTAAAGTCTTCTCATTATTTTCATATGGTGCCGTTTGCACATAAAATACTCACAAACACAAAGCAGAACCCTCCCTTAGGGGATTTAAAGACTTAAAAACACATGAGGTATATTGAACTACAAAATATGTTAAAATTTTGTACATTTAACTCTAAGGCTAGGGACAGAAGTTACACATAAACTAGTTTAAGTGATGGGAAACTGGTTTAAATCTGTAACAGAACAGAAGTTCAGTGTACATAAACTGCTTTCAAAATGGCCAAAACCAATTGCTTTCAAAATGGCCAACGCCTAGTTGAATATAGTATCAGACTTAACTGATTTTGGTCAAATCGGTTTATGGAACTTCTGTTCCAGATCCCTTCCTGGTTCAAGTTAACTCACAGTCCCCCAGCATCCCAGTATGCTTTGCAGACCTGAGCTATGCCATCTGCTCCAGTGGAGCAGGGACTGCCTCACTCCTCTGCATCTTTCCAGCCCGTGTCCATCAGCCCACAGAAACAGAGGCAGGGCAACAAATCCCCAGACACCCTACGCAGGGTCTACACAGCATTTCCAAGGAGAAAAGCCCCTGTGGTGGGGGCTTTTCAACCCTCAGCAGCCCTTCCCCCTCCCCCTTCCCAGCTGCTGATTGCTTCAGCCACTGTCTCAGGAAGGAGGGGAAAGAAGTCCTCCCTGCTGGGTCTCTGTCCCATGCAGCCCAGCATGGGGGCACCAGGCAAGTTTTTGCCCTGCTGAGCTTCCCATCACCACAACCTGGGGTAGCCACTGGGAGGTGAGAAGAATTCTTCCCCTCCCAAACCCCAAGGCTGCTTGCCTCACCTGCTAGGAGTCTCAGGGATAGTCTGGGGCAGTCAGAGAGTGGAAGAAAATTGCCCTGCTCCTCTACAGCCTGAGTTGCTAGGAGTCTGAGGCAAAATTTTTTGCAGGGGAGTGGAAGAATTTCCTTCCACTCCCTGAGGCTGCCCCAAGCTATCCCTGAGACTTGCATCAGCTATTCTGGGATAGCATAAGTGATGTCAGAGCCCCCTATACACAAACGTTAAGATCATACGTAAGAGAACAGTTTCCCTAAAAATGACATATATGAATATTGGTAATGCCACTTCAAAAGGATAAAATATTTCTCTCTCATTTTTTCTATTCTCCCAATTTCTAGATTTATAAAGCATACATTACAATCAGTTCCTGGGAAGAAAAAAAAGTACATTTGAAAAAGGAGGGATCAGCACTTAATCATGTAATTAGATGCCAACATAAATCCAGAATTAAAAAATTAAAGATTTCATCTAGCTCCACATTAGGAGGATTGAAAATGTAAGTCTCACACAAACACAAGTTGTCTGAGCTATGTTAAATCTTTAATTGCATTTAACAATATTTATATACAAGTCATAAAGGAAAGGTTTTTAAAAAAAAAACAAAAAACCACAGCTGCATTTCTCCCACAGGTAACTCGCCCTCCCAAAGCCCTGTTTCTGAATATATTGTTCTCCTATATCCCAATATTAGAAGCGTCGTTATGCAACTGTCCTTTATGTCACAACATCATGTCCATTTACATCAAATATTTTGCAATACAGCAATTGGGACATCAAATTTCAGGTTCTTACTTTGCCTACTTCTTTCCATCTATACATTGTTCTGAAATACCCAAACAAGTGGAGTTCTTGTTCTCACGACAAAAGGCAGCTAGAGAGCTAATGCAGAACAACAATAAAGTTACAGTCACCTGCTCATTGGACCATCCTCTCATCAGTACAAAGCTACTATTAGTATTACCAAGATGGAAAAGCAGAGTAGCGACAACAATCTTTTGTCATTCTGAAAGAGAAAAGTCACTGAGCCTGTGTGGATGCAAAATACATGAAAGCTTGTGGATCAATAATTTGATTAGAAGTGATCATTAAGGTAATACTTCAGAAAAGCATTTAAGCCTAGGCTCAAGTGTCTTCCTGAATAAAGGTCTGAAAAAAAGATGTGGATGCAAGTGTTCTGGATTCGAATATCAATACCTCCAATTAAACCACAAAATTCCCAGCTTTATTAATATTATTCATCCTGACAAGAAGGGCTAGAATAGATAGAGCAGGGGCAGGCAGTTATTTTGAGCCGGGGGATGCTTACTAAGTTTTGGCAAGCCATCGAGGGCCACATGACAGGCAGCCAGGGGTAGATAAATATTAATTTTCTAAATTTTTTAGGGGCCCTGCAGGCCAGATAGAATGGCCTAGTGGGCCACATCTGGCCCACAGGCCAGATTTTGCACAATCTGAAATACAGCCTTCATTCCTTAACAGTCCAAAATAATGCTGTTAACGCCTCTCTATGAAAGAATCCGTATCCTTTTTTCTTATTTTAGAAGCTGGGAGGCAATGTACTGCCTCCAAACAGAGGTGCCTTAAAATGACTGGTCTTACTAATGGTGTTC